GGAGCTCCTCTGGACTCCTGATTAAGCTGCCGGATAGAGAGTCAAACCTCCCTCATTAATTTGTCTTCATCTTTAAAAAAATTTCTCTACAATTAACCTTCTGCCATCATGAATTTCTTTATCCATTAATTGTAGTGAGAGCCACTCTCCCGCCTTAGAACAAACATGCTCTCATCCTTCCCCTATGAAATATGGGGGATTTATTCTGACCTTTGGTAGCTTACTGAGGCCTGACCCGGGAGGAGCTTGGTGATGCCTGGCGCTGTGAGATCGAGGGACTCTGACCTGCCCAGAACCTCCTCTGCTCTGTGCATGGGTGTTCTGGGCCAGGTCATGCTACACACTCACTAGAGGACACGGGGAGCCCTCCTAGTCCAACAACGGCAAGGAGACTGTCCACATCTCTCCTGATAATGACTGCACCGCTGGCCACTGGTTGTCATGGTGATGCCGGATGCAGGGGAAATTGCAAATGCAGCAATGCCATCGGGTGGCCGGTCGGAAAAACAGGATCTCCTTCAGCTCCACAGACTCAGGGGGGCCCTGGGGGTAGGGTGCACACAGCTGGGCTCTCCCAAGGCAACCAGCAGGAAGCTGAGATCCGGAGAGCCGGGGGAGCCCTCACCTGTTCTCAGGGAACCAAGGGACCTCCCCCTGGTGCCACGGGCTTGTCCCTCCACCCCCCAACAGCAAGTGGGGGAGGGGAGAAGGGAACCTGCCTATTGATGGCTACCTGGTTACTAGTAAGTCCTTTAAGAGGAGTCCACCATTCACTCAGTGACCAAGCATGGATGGTCCCAGACTTGAATCTCCCCAAGGGCTTTCCTTAGGAAGCTCCGGTGCACAGAAGGAAGAACTCCTCCCTCCAGGATGAGTCAGAGAGCATGTCTGCCTCTACTGCCGGGAGCATCCTCAGCCTCTCTCTCTCCCCAGTTTAAGGACCCGCAGGTCCTCAATCGCCATCTCTGAGGGCTCAGGGGGAGCATCGGTGGGGCGGCGACCCCTGGCCAAAGCACGTTCCATGGAGACAAGGTACCCATTGCAAGAGGAACTGACCACAGCCCCTTCCTCCTGGGCGGAGTCAGTGAGGATTCCTGTCCTGGGTTTCCCCAGCTAGTTCTGCAGACTTGCTGTGCCTGGGTCTGCAGCAGGAGTCTCTGGCATGGATTCTGGTATCAGACTTATGTTCTGACGATGGCCAGGTCACTCAACCCTCCAGTGCCTCAGTTTCCCCATCTGTAAAGTGGGCTTCCATCATTTCTGTAACCATGCGATCGGATGGTGCACGTGATGTTCCCGGGCACAGGCCCCAGAACACATTAAGCATTCAGTAAAAGCAAGCGCATTTATTAGCAGCAGCGGCGATACCAGGGAAACAGCTGGCGAGGGAAAGTGAGCTGTAGGGAGTGACGTTTTGCTCGCTGCCCGGTAATTGGCATGTTGCTTGGCAAACTCTGAGATCCTCAAATGGTCTTGTCTGCCTTCCAAGAAAATCAAACAACAGGTGCCTGCCTTGTCTTAACTGATTCCAGCCCCAAGACAGTCTGGTTTGGTTTAAGACCTCCTGGAGCAGGCTTCACATTGGATGTGGCCAGAGTTCCACAAGAGCGTCCACCTCCAGTGACGGCCGGCCCCAGGTGAGTGGCCTTTCTACGCACACCACGCAATCACTACATGGTACTCTTTTCCCCGGGGGAGGGGAAGAGAGAGGGGTGGTCACAGCATAGCCTTCAGATGCCCATCAGAGGAGGAAGTGACCTCTTTTCTTGCTTGAGGGAGGATTGACCCTTGAGCTGCAAGGTGAGGGATTGTGGGGGGGCACTCCGCGGGCTGTGCACCCAGGATCACCAACTCCATGAAGTCCCAGGAGCCCAGGAGCCTGAGGGGCAGAGGGATGGAGAGGAGCTAGAGCACACCCCTGCTTCCGGCGAGGAAGAGATGGAGGGAGCCTGGGACAGGTCATGTCTCCGGTTGTCCAACTGCTCCCGTCCTTGGAGTTGGGGGCATGTGCCAGTGTCCTCCCTTGGATTCTGAGATGTCTCAGGTCTCAGCAGTTTTGGAGGCAGTCTCTAAGCACAATCCTCGTTCAGATGGGCACCTGACTCCCTCCCCAGCCCCCTGCTTGAAGTTGACTGGCTGCCCCGAGTATAATGAGGGTCGGTGCTAATAACTGATGAACGTGCGTTGGTGCAGTGAATGTCTGCAGGAACTGACGCTGTTCAGAATAAGCACAGGGAGACATACCAGCTATTTTGAAAATGATGCAGGAAGGTGTATGCATCCCAGGCTGGCAAGTTTGGTGGGAAGGCTGAAACGTTTAGAGAATGGGGGAGGGGAGGGCAGGCAGGACAGCGATGACCATGCACCCACTTTCTTAGTGGCAGCATCGGGACAGGTGCCCAAAGGGAAATAGCCAAGGTCACTCCATGGGGGAAGGCGTGGCTTTGTGATGAGTGGAGAGACAGAGAGAGGAGAAAAAACACAAACCTCTCGCAAAGAGCCTGGGAGTCCAAGGAGAGGAAATTACTGACTGCCAGGGCATTCTAATCAGAGCCTTCTTATCAGAACGTCTCCCCGTCTAACGAGGAGAAAGCCAGTCTCCAGCGGGCTGAGCGCTAACTTAGATCTAATCAGGCCTCCTTCCAACGCTCAGCAGGCCAAACCCCGTGGCGGGGACCCTTGCTGGTCCTTTCTGCAAACAGCTGGCCAGAGCTGTGTCAACCTTAGTCGTGTGTGTGTGTGTGTGTGTGTGTGTGTGTGTGTGTGTGTGTGTGTGTGTACATGCGCGCACGTGTGCTTTTTCTTTTCTCCCAGCTACTCAGCTCCATCTGCTTAAAATCATAATGTGAAGCTGGAGTTGCCTGCTTGGCCCAAGAAAAGCCCTGCCAGTCTATTAACCCCTGACAGCTGCAGCTCCAAGCTGGGATACATTTCCTCTTTTAAAAACACACATTTATCCAACCTTCGCCGTGTGCCATGTACAGTGCTCGGCTCCTGGACGCACGCTACGTTTCTCCTTCACACACGCAAGGGCATTTTCCTCCTCACACCAAACCCAGAGTGTAAAAGGACATCGGAAAGGCTCCTGCCCCAGCCCATGGAACACAACATCCCCCCCATCCACCTCGAGGCCGATGCTATGGTTACTCTTCTTTCAAGGGAATAATCGCTACAGTTAACTGGCCTTATGGTGGCGGCCGTTTCTTTGCCACAAGCAGAGAACACCATCTGTGAATCACCCAGCGCCCCGCGGGGCCCTGTCCTGTCCTTCTAACAAACGGCCTCCCAGACCCTCGGAGGGCTAGGACCCCTGAATACGAACGTGCCCCGCAGCGAGGCGGACACGAGACAGAGCAGAGGGAGACTCAGAGAGAAGGCCAGCCTTCCCCTTGCTCTCAGCCTGCCGCTCTGATGGACGTGCTGCCTGGAAGCTGGCTGGCACCTCCTCGAGACATGACTCACACACTGTTGTCCGAGAGGAATCTGTCCAGGCTGAGCCTTAAAGGACACCGGGAGGCAGGGGAAAGATGTGAGGAGGGAAGGGCTGGAGGCACAGCCTCACTTCCTCTTACAGGAAGCGTCTTGGGCGCCGCCCTGTAAGACGTGCTGCCGCCCTCCCTCTCTCCGTCCTCACTCCTGGCCTCTCACCCCCTGGAGACCCGCTGGACTCCCTGGTCTGGAACCTCACACTGCAGCTCCGCTCAGGAGGTCCCCCTCCCCTTCCTCGCTGCCTGTGACTTGGAGGTGATTTTATTTTTTGAAAATATATTATTATTGATTTTCAGAGAGGAAGGGAGAGGGAGAGAGAGAAACATCAATGATAAGAGAGGATCATTGATCGCCTGCCTCCTGCACACCCCCTACTGGGGATTGAGCCGGCAACCTGGGCGTGTGTCCTTGCATGGTTTCTGGGAATGGAACCGTGACCTCCTGGTTCATAGGTCGACACTCAACCACTGAGCCATGCCAGCTGGGCAGAAAAGACACACAAATACACACACACATACATATGCACACACACATACACACGAACACATTCACACACGCACGTACTCATTTGAACTTAGATGCACACCTCGGTGAGCATACATCCCGTGCTAGTCAGAGGGCAGAGCCTTCTGAGCCACAGGGCCACGTGAGCTCCCCGAAGTTTCTACACCTTATGCTCTCGGTTGCTCACAGGATACTCGAGAGTGATTCCCGATCCCAGCAGGCATCAGGGTGTACGGAGCCAACGTGGGCACGGACATGCACACATACCCGCCCCCCCCATACCCACAGAATATACATGTAGATGCTACAGCTACCTCCTCACAAACCAGAGGTAACTCCCCCATATCATACAATCTTAAAGTACAGGAGGAACTGAATTCCTCCCCTCCCCTCTCCACATCAGAGTTCATGTAACTTCTTCAAACACGAAAGCGCAAATGACCAGAATGAAATACAAGCAAATAAATAATCTCAGAGCTCAAAATTCAAGGCAACAAATCTTCCTTAAATTAAATAAACACTTCCTTCTCGGCCATATTTTACCAGATGCAGTCACATCGGTGACTGATTAGGCGCCTCTCTAACTCTCTCACCCACCTCCTCAAGGTCACATGTCTGCTGGCAGCTCCGTGGCTTCAGGACTGGGGTTTGGTGTATGTTTTAGTTCCCTGTCCCTAGCACACGCCCCTAAGATCCTACTCCTTGTAGGATTCAGCTCGGGCCTAATCTCCAGGCCCCAGCCTATGGTGAGTGCTATGCCTGGGCCAGGCTCCCAGCCGTAACCTGTAGGTTTGTTCACACTGACCTTGGACTTCCTCTGCCCACTCCCTGGCCCTCCTTCCAACAAAAGGAGGTGCTGCAGGTAAGGGGCACAGCTCAGATTTATTTTTTCCTGTTGGTGGGTGGAGAGTCAAAAGAAGAGCACTACAGAGCAAGGCTCCAAGTTTGCAGGACGGAGCCTACCAACGGTCCCAGACACACACGCACAGCAACCAGTTCCTACTCACAGCAGCTGCAGGGACACCAGCCCGTCAAACAGCCCCTTGGCAATCTCGGTGATCTTGTTCCCGTAGAGCACCCTGGAAAAGAACGCAGAGACGGCAGTCACCGTGGATGTGTGGCCACCGGGACCCACTCATGTAGGAGGCCGCCACCTCGGCCACTTGGGGGGGGGGAGGGGCGTCAGAGTCCCCTTCCCCATCCGCCTCATCCCTTCTCATCACCAGGGAGGTGGCTGCAAGTGCCACCTGGGCTGGGGGCACAGGCTGTCCGGGAGGCGAGGAGAAATGGGCTCTATGCTTTTGTTCCTGGGCAGCCCAGCCCAGTAAGCGGCCCCCACTGGGAAGAAGCTGTCCCTTTGTGGTGCCGCCCAGACCTGCCAACGTGACTCACACCCCGGCAATAAATGCGATGTGGGGGAGGCTGGCTGGCCCTGTGTCCACTCCCCTTCAGTATTGATCAGGCTGAGCCCAGCCCACAGGCCGTTTCCTTTCAGTCTCCCATCACATCCTGGGAATCCTGAGCGGAGTCCTCCCATCATCCATCTGGACAGGCCTCTGGCTGTCTGGGGTCCCGCCCAGCTGGCTCAGAGACTGCTGAGACAGGGACTGGCTCTCAGGAAAAAGGGGGGACAAGGAACTGTGAGCTCGGCGGGATGGCGGCTTCTACACTCCGCCCTCCTCCTGTCCTCTGAGCCCCCAGAACCCAGGACGCCGGGTTCTTTCACCCCTCACACTGAGTGTCTAGGCACGGGCTGGTCTCTGGTGACTTGGGAAGCTGGGAGGAAGGCTGCTGGGTCTTCCACTCTGGCTGGTGCCCCGTGGCTCCCGCTGGCCCTCGGCCCAGGCACGAAGACCCTTCGCCTCTCTCTGCCTCACCCACGGCATAGACGTGCCGCCTCTTGGGCCCGGCCTCCTCTGAGATGGAGGGAACTTAGCTGAGGAGGGTTTGGTGTGTGCGTGTTTTAATTCCCTATGGGCCCTGAAGCGCACTGAATGAACACAATTCACCCCCCATCCAGGCTGCTGTGTGTCTTTGAGGAGGTAAAATGTGAGGATGAGGAGATGGTAAATGGGAGAGAGCAACCAAAACCCGTTTTCTAGACGCCACCAGGAGTGAAGAGTGAGCATCTCACTCGGCCCCTGGGTGTGTCTCATGAATGTTTCAACAAATTAATGACTAAATAAAAGCCAGCATGATGGCTCAGGCTCACATTCTAATTCATATTAACGTCCCGCCGCTCACTGTGCCCAATGCCATAATGTCACTGCCTGCTCATCTCCTGATGCCCGAGCTTCCGCACGGCAGAGCTGGTGGGCGGCGGGACCAGGGGTCTGGGCAGGGGGCCCCACATCATCCATCCCGCCTCCTGGGGGCCCTCCCCCAGCCTAGTGGGTCTGAGCACACCCTGCAGGCAGACGGGGCTGTGGGTCCCCAGGTAGCATCTGGGTGCGGACTCTTCCTGCTGCCATCTCCACACCCTGCAGCTTGGCCCCGCCTTCTCTTCCCTGGGAAGGTTCTCCTGAGTATATCGATTATTGCTTCTCACTACCTGTCACCCTATTTTTACTGCTTTTCCTCTTCTCATTATATCATGTTATATTACCGATATATAGGGTGGGGCAAAAGTAGGTTTATAGTTGTTCGTATAGAAAATAACCAATAATAATACAAGAATAAACTGTGTTTTGCATCCGCCTTCTCTTCCCTGGGAAGGTTCTCCTGAGTATATCGATTATTGCTTCTCACTACCTGTCACCCTATTTTTACTGCTTTTCCTCTTCTCATTATATCATGTTATATTACCGATATATAGGGTGGGGCAAAAGTAGGTTTATAGTTGTTCGTATAGAAAATAACCAATAATAATACAAGAATAAACTGTGTTTTGCATATACACAACCACCAGCCCTTGAAGACAGGCTCTGGTGACGCCATGCGGCTTGACTGGGCCCTAGAGCTGAGGATGGGCCAGGCGTCCAGCACAATCAATGCTGAAGGACTGAATGGACAGGGATAGGTGGAGGCTTTCCGGCCCTTTCCCGTGGCCACTCTGAGCTTGGACTGAGTGTTTGTGTTGAAAGCCCACGAGGCCTGGGTTATGCCTGTCCAGGTCACTGCCATTCTCAGTCCCCACACTGCCCCTCAGCACACAGGGCGACACTGAGGGGTGAAGGCATAAACTGGGGGTGAGGGTGAGCGGGGGGCACTTCCCTTAAACAAGGCCCCGATACAGTTCAGAATCGGCCAGCGGCAGGCCAATTTCCAGTCCAGCAACCATATTTTGAATTTCTTTTCCTGCAGGACCGAAGCATCTCGCTGTCTACAGACTATTCCCACATCCTGACAGGGGGAAACCGGACCAGGGGACCAGGCCGGTGGGGCAGGGGTGGGATCCTGGGGGCACATGGCCACTCTCTCGTCTCTTCTGTGGTCGTCAGATGCAAATCTCACACGCAGTCCTGTCTGATATCCCAGCCAGATGTCCTACCTGATAAATGAAGCTAATTTTCTCAGCGAGCAGCAAGGCCACGGCTGCATGGAGACACCTCCCTGACCTCCTGCATTCTCGGTGGGGTGGGGCCAGGTGGGGAGCCGTGTAGCTTCTTACCTGCCCACTGGCTAATGAAGCAAAGAGGCAGAGTGTGGGCACCGGCCTCTGAGCCGCCACACTCCTGCCCGGTGGGCAGGCCACCAAGGACAAAAGCAATACCGACCGGTGATGCCTTTGCTGTGTCCCACTGTTTACTTTTCACCTCACCCCACGGCAGCAGAGCATGAGGATCGTGGATTCTGGGGCCGAATCCAGCCGCTCCCGCTGGTTAAGGAGGACTTTGGATGAATTACATGTGTCTATCCACCGAGGTTTCTTTTGTACCATAACTACGTGCCAGAGATCCAGCCAGGATTGAAACGATCAAACCCCCGGGCTATGTGGAGCTTGGACGGAATCTGTCTTAGAGGGTGCTGTGAGGAGGGAACGGCAGGGCCCTTGCACAGCACCTGGTACGCAGCAGGTGCTCAATAAGAGCTGCCGGTTGTTCTAGTTGCTGTGACCACTGTCACTGAGTGTGCATTGGGCAGGATACTGACCCCTGTGCCCAAGGGTGAGTCACTGACAGTCAGGACAAAGCCCCGCCCCTTCCTGCCCAGGGGTAGGGTGGGAGTGGGGGTTTCTGAGCCCAGGACAGGCAAGTCTTCTGTTCCACCCAGTGGGCAGCCCTAGGGTTCCCAAGCGGAGGAAGGAAGGACTTGTAGGGTGGGGCTGATGCTTCCTCCAATACCGTCAGCTGGTTTGGAGAAAGAGTCTGAAAACCAGGGGAAGAACATGAGCTCCTCCCTGGACCAGGCCGCATTCGTGGGGCAATGGGTAATAAACATCGGTTACAAACATCTGTTACAAGCCTCACCCCACCTCCCCGGAGAGCACGGCCCAGGCCTGCGGGGTGGGAGGGGGAGCGTGGTTAGAGTAGAAGATGCATTGGAATTAAAAGCCAATAACTGGGAAGGCTGCTGGGCAGTTAATCGATAGAAATAATGCATTTGGGTTGTAGAAATATTCCCCAAGATCAATTTCCCCTGAAGAAATATTTGTTTCCCTTACCAGGCTGCCACAAGTGTGTAAGGGAACATAAAGCCTTGACAAAGCCTCCTGAAAACGATGGATGTATTTCCCCCCGAGTCCCTCCCTCAGTCCCTGGCAACTACTCCCTACTTACAGCGACGTGAGCGATTTCAGACCCTGGAAGGCATCGGGAGCGATGTCCGATATCTGGTTCTTGCTGATGTCTCTAAAAACATGAATGTGAGAGTCTGAGAACGTGGCTCGGAGGTATAACGGCCATTCCTACATTCAAATCAAGCATTTCAGGTATTCAAAACGGTGAGAACTAATTCACAGACCAATTTATTTAATCAGAGTGCAAGAGAAGAGTTTCAAGACCATTCAAGTCAAAATATACAGAATGTACTGCATGCGTCTCACTCTCCTGACTTCAAAGCACGCCCACCCCTGGCACCTGCCCTTGATGGGCTTTGCACATGCAAGCCCTCCTTTGGCAGGTGGGAAACTGCGCCCAGTCAAATCAGGGCCTTGTCCAGGTCACACTGCTGACAACGACAGCACAAATGAAGCAGAACCAGCCCCACCCAAACACAGGCCAGGCGTCTTCTAAGTGGCCCGTCCTACCTCACGCCTCAGCAAACGCTCATTTTTCTCCCCAAAAGTCCTGAGTCATTTCACCTCCCCAGTGACATTTCCTCCTTGACCTGCGAGGCTCTGAGCAGGACTTGAAGCTTCACTTGGCTCCGGGCATCCTCCAGCCCTGTGGGTACCTCATCAAGAGGGTCCCACAAGACGGCGCTGAGACCTGGACTTGGCGCGGGCAGTGCTCCCTGCACAGGAGCAGCCCCAGGCCCATGACGTCCAGGCTTTGTGACACTGTGAGCGAGAGGTAGCTGTGTGAGAAGGCAGCTGGCCTGGCCTGGCTGGTGGAGGGGCTTTGGGGCCTCCTCAGAGCAGGAGGCTGCTGTGTTCCAGCATCCCAGCGACCTCTGAGCATCCCAGCGACCTCTGAGCACCCCAGCGACCTCTGAGCACCCCAGCGACCTCTGAGCATCCCAGCGACCTCTGAGCATCCCAGCGACCTCTGAGCATCCCAGCGACCTCTGAGCATCCCAGCGACCTCTGAGCATCCCAGCGACCTCTGAGCATCCCAGCGACCTCTGAGCATCCCAGCGACCTCTGAGCATCCCAGCGACCTCTGAGCATCCCAGCGACCTCTGAGCATCCCAGCGACCTCTGAGCACCCCAGCGACCTCTGCGCATCCCAGCGACCTCTGAGCATCCCAGCGACCTCTGAGCACCCCAGCGACCTCTGAGCATCCCAGAGACCTCTGTGCACTGGCCTCGAGCTTTTGCTAATGGCTCTTCACGGAGGAAGACTGTCTCTCAGGTCACTGGCTCTGGGATGGCCTCAGGCCCCCATCACTGGACAGGGAGATGCTCCAATCTCAGTGACAAGGAACCTCTCCCGCCCTTCCCCTCTAACAAAACAAATCCATAGGTCCTTGCTCCTGGGCAGAAGAGGGCTAGCTGGGGCCTTGGCGGGTCAACGAGGAGGAGATGGAATAGGAAGAAGAAAGCACATCGAAGTGGATTCCTGAGCTACTGCCTCCTGCACATCCTGCCCTGCTTCTCTCCCTCCAACAGCCTCAGAGCCCTGCCGCCCCCTCGCCGGCCTCGCTCCTCCCCCTTCCCTCCCCGGCTCCAAGGCCTGCAGGTTGAAAGACACTTCACAGGTCAGGCGTCTTGGGCAGCGCTGCGGGCTTATCTCTTTAGCTGCCAAGACGGCCTCTGACAAATCCACAGATTGTGCCTGCGAGCTCGCCGGCTTACCGCGGCTTTCCTCCGGCGCTCCATTTTTGTCTAAGGGTCTTAACAAGCAAATGCCCGGATTATCCTAAGCTCGCTCACCTTCAGCACCGCTGCCTAGCAAGGAATTTCAGGCGAGCACACAAGGTCTGCGTTCAGGTCTGAGAGCAACTGTTCCGTTGCTGTTGTTTCTCCTGATCCTAGACGTCCCCTGGTACTCAGACATCTAGCATGCAGAGGGAGTTCTGTGGCCAGTGGGGAAGCCTGGTGAGGGCACCTGGGTTCCAGTCCCCAGCGAGACTTGGTCCCAGCCTCTGCAGCACTAGGTGCGTGTCTCGTGGTTTTGGAGGTGGTGGGGACAAGGAATAGTCCAGGTGGGAACTGACCCTGTGGTCACCTCGTCCTCATCCTAACTCTGCGGGAAGGAAGCGGCAGCCCTGGGGGGTGAGGAAGCGGGGATCGGGAGTGGCCGGATGCGGCTGTTCAGGCTCAGAGTTGCCACCTGGAGCAGCCTTGCTCTCACTGCAATGGAGCGGCTCACAGTGGTGCTGGACAGGAAGGCAGCCAGAACGGCTGAGGGTGCCCGCCTGTCTCCGTGCTCAGCCCCTCCCAACCCACCCAGGGTGGCCCCAGAGCAGACTCTGGGTGTCTGGGTCACTCTCGACCGGTGGTCCTCAACCTCAAAAACGTCACAGGGGCGTTTATTAAAAGGCAGAGTCTGACTGGGTTGGCTGGGGAGTTGGGGTAAGAAATCTGCATATGTTACAAATTCCCAGGTGCTGTCCATGCAGGTGGCCCCCGAGTCAGACCTTAGGCCACAGGGTCCTAGAATCTGGTCAGTCTCAGACCCACCCAGTCTCCTGGGACTTATAAACGCAAAGGCTGAGAGAGCGTGGCCTTCCCAGGCAGTTTGGGACCGAAGTAGCCGATTCCAGGGCCGACAGGGGTCAGTGGGAAAGAAAGGTGTGTGACAGGCAAGCTGGAGCCCGTGGGACGCTGCTCTGCCTGAGATGGTGCAAATGGAGAGCTCAGCAGGTCCTGGCCGAGCAGCACAGGTGTGTCCCCAGGGTCAGGGCCACCAGCTATCCAACCCCGTAAGGCCCAGGGTCTTCTCCGATGCCTCTAACTTTCTCTAAAAATGGCTTCTCTACCTGGATACAGGTTTTTACCTGGAAATGCTGCTACACTAAGCTGACCACTAGAGATGGTTGGGAACAAAGCCACTCATTCAGGCGGAATTCTTCACCGTCGTCTTATTATTAGAGATAAGAGAAGGACGCCGTTGAGGGGAAACCTGGGTTTGTTGGATCATAGAGACAAACTTGCCACGCACACCTAGGAGGAATTCACGCTTAAGGTTTTAAAATCCGTCCTCACCAGGCATCCTGCTTCCCCCCAAGCCATCGCATGTCAGCAGGAGTTTCTGGACTTCTGTTAGAGAAATGCTAAGCGGTCTCTCTTCCCTACCACCATTCCCTTGGGGAAGAAGGGGCCTCAATGAGAGTGATCGAAAGTTAGAGTTCCTTCCCAGGCCATGGCTGAGAAGGCCTTCTGAAGTTTGCATACACAGATCATGGCTCATCCAACAGGAGGAAGACAGGGCAGTAACATACAGCCAAGCTCTAAATTACCTGGACTTCACCAAAAAGTAGAGCAGGAACTTAAATCATGCAAGAGATATAGGCTGGGGCAGGGACTGAACTTGTCATTTGTCACTGAAATTACTATCTGGCTGCATAATCAAGCTGGGCTTTAAAAATGAATTGGGGGGGTAGTTATAGAGAGCGAGCTGGGGAGGCAGGGAGCCAAGAGATTAATGGGCCAGGGTTTTAAATATTAAGGCTTATATTTATCCAGCTCCTCCGGCAGGAAAAAAAATGCCAAGGGGAGGGGAGAGCGTGCGAGGGCTGCCTCATTAGGCCGGCTTCCACTCCTGGAATTGCACCAGGAGAAGAGCCTGTTTGGTTTGGATTTCCAGGGAGATGAGGAGTTGGCTTCCTGAGATCTGAGGGGGAAGCCTATCAGTGCCGCCGCTTCGCCGGGTGTTTATTTTTGACATAAAAGGAGTCAGCGGGCACTTAACCTCTTTAACGTGGGCCTCGTCCTCCAGGGAAATGGATGCTTCAGCCCTGAGTGGAAGGGCACAGCCAATCCATGCACATCCCCTGCCTCTCTCCTCGCTCTGTGGGGCCAGCGGGAGTAAGTGCAGTGGAAACGGTGCTGTGATGGCTGAGCTGTAATAATGATTTCTTAGCCTGGAAGAGGGAGCGGCGTCGCCTGTCCCCCTCCCCAGATTCTTAGCTATGATGGGGATGGATGGGCCATTTCTGAACCCTACTAGCCCCTGCAGAGGGCCCAGGTCTTGTGGCTCGCAGAGCAGTGCTCATGGGGCCATGTGATGGGGAGGGCAGTGCTTACGTTGCCTCAACAGCGGGAGGAGGGCCATCGTGCTCTCCGTGCTGCTGTGGGAGGGAAGGGGCAGAGGTCTGGTGCACCAGGCGTTGAGCCTGTCGTGGTGGCAGTGATGTTGGTTAAGGTGGTCACGGCGATGGTGGGTAATCACGGCATGTCATAGAACTGGAGGATAAAACCCTTCTAATCTCACTTAGAAAGAATAGAAAGGTCTTACCATAGTCTAAAGCAGCGGTTCTCAACCTGTGGGTCGTGACCCCTTTGGCGGTCGAACGACCCTTTCACAGGGGTCGCCTAAGACCATCCTGCATATCAGATATTTACATTACGATTCATAACAGTAGCAACATGACAGTTATGAAGTAGCAACGAAAATAATTTCATGGTTGGGTCACAACATGAGGAACTGTATTTAAAGGGCCAGAAGGTTGAGAACCACTGGAAGGGTCCATGGGATCTAGGTCAGTGATGGTGAACCTTTCGAGTTCGGCGTGTCAGCATTTTGAAAAACCCTAACTTAATTCTGGTGCGGTGTCACATATAGAAATTTTTTGATATTTGCAACCATAGTAAAACAAAGACATATTTTTGATATTTACTTTATATATTTAAATGCCATTTAACAAAGAAAAATCAACCAAAAAAATGAGTTCGCGTGTCACCTCTGACACGCGTGTCATAGGTTCATCATCGCTGATCTAGGCCTTACCCGCCTCTCTGACACCCACTTCATTCCTCACTCACTCCACATGCATACTCCCCTTGCACACTCCACACACACACTCTCCATACACACTCTCCTTGCACACTCCACACGCACACTCTCCATGCACAATCCCCATTGCACACTCCCCTTGCACACTCCCCCACTCACATTCCCTTGCACGAACACCCATGCACACTGCCCACGGTCTTTTACGCATCCTTCCCCCGAGCCTGGCATGACTCACTTCCTCTACTCGGCCACCTGCACATCTTGGCCTTCAGGACAAACCCCCCTGAAGCCCACCCACCATCACTCTCTGTGCCTTCCCTTCCCTTGTTTTACTTTCTGTGTGTAGCAATTTCCAGGGCTGAGGTTAATGTCTGTGCTCTCTCACAGACACGGAGGCCCCACGAGAGCAACACCACCTCAGTTCACGCGCCGACCACAGACTCTAACCCAGCTCCTCACCCCCAGCGGGTGTTTGTTGAGTGGCTGTGTGTGGTGGTAGCAACGCTGGTGACAGTGCTGCAGAATGACATGGCCACTGCCACCGTCCATAGAAGCTCCTATGCGAGGTCCACATTGCAAAGCCGGAGAGCGATAGGAAAGGTGACGGCGTTTTTAGGCCAAAGGAGCTCCACCCCCACCCAGACCATTTCCTTTGCTCTCGTTGGTGTGGCCCTCGCTGTCCAACCAGGTGTGTGGGTGCCAAGACCCTTTTACCTCCCGTCGGAAACCTGACCCAGCCTGTCACCTGAGCAGCTGCCCACCACACATGACATGCTACCCCCAAACTCAACACGCGTGGGCTCGTTTGTGCCGGGTGGAGACTCACATTCGCTTCAGCTTCTTGTACGGGGTGAAGGCTCCGGCAGGGATGGACTTGATGGAGTTCTGCTCCAGGCGTCTGGGAAACAGAGCAGAGGAGAGTCAATTAACCGTCCGCCCTTCACCCGGGGTCGCTGAGGCCCTGAGGGCAGGAGGGTCTCTCCCACCAGGTGGCGCACATTCTGGGTCCAGGAGGCCGGGCAGGCACCGTGCAGAAGCCAGAGATGGGTGTTCTGCGGCATGGAGCACCCGCCGGGGCTAGAAGAGGTGACATCCCCCGAGGACAGGTTCCTGCTCATTGTAAGCTGGCTCCTGAGGCAGCAGCTTCTTCAGAAAAAAGCTCCGAGGGTAACAGATAGAGCCCGGGGAAGTCAGGGGAGAGAGAAGAGAGTGAAAAGCGAAGGACTGGGCCAGCCCCGCTTGGTGGAAGTGTGTCACTATTCTTGTAGAACTGCCACCTGCTGTGGGCTCCTGGACAGGCACACACGACAGCGGCTGACTTCATGTCTGGGTTTCTTTTCTTTTCTTTTTCTTTTTTTTTTAAAGGAATAATTGACATATACCACTATGTTAGTTTCAGGTGAATAGCCTAATGTCTCTATTTATTTCTGCTTTTTAAAAAAAAATATATCTTTATTGATTTCAGAGAGGAAGAGAGAGGGAGAGAGAGAAAAACATCAATGATGAGAGAAAATCATCCATCAGCTGCCTCCTGCACGCCCCCTACTGGAGCCTGCAACCTGGGCATGTGCCCTGACCACGAATTGAACCGTGACCTCCTGGTTCATAGGTTGATGCTCAACCACTGAGCCACACTGGCTGGGCTATTCCTGGGTTTTTCAATCGGCTGTTCTAATCTGTGGAGAAAGAGGCCTCCCATCTTTAGCTCCTGCCTGACATTCATCAAGTTGGCTCCCCAACATCCTGGAGGCGTCAGGGGACCTGGCTGGACCTCTCACTGCCCTGGGCTGCTGCTCGAATCCAGGGCTCTCACATCTTACAGACCCCCCTGAAAAGCGTCCGCTCCTATTACTCTGGGAAGATGAGAGCTGCTGCAGGCCCAGGGCCCAGAGCTTCTGTGGAAGAGAAGGGGCCGTGGGGAGCGAGCGCTCACTTCCATTCTTTATTCTTTTGTCTCTCAAATGACTTCCTGTCACCAGGAACAGGTGTGGTGGGAAAGGGCCTGGGCGGGAGGCGGCCCCTATTAGAGCTGATGAATGATGGCCCGGCCCAGGCTGAGGACGCAGCCTCTCCCCTCATCCATCTCCCTTGTCTCCGAGGTGCGGATCTTTTCATCACCTCCTCATTCAGCATGGAGGCTCCCCAAACCTCAGCTGGAAGACACAAGGAAAGGTGTGTGTGTGT